GTGCAGTGGTTAAGTACTTAGCTGCTAACTGAAAGGTCAGCAGTTCAAACCCACTAGCCACTCTGCAGAAGAAAGATGTGGAACTCTGCTTCCGTAAAGATTTATAGCCTTGGAAACTCTATGGGGCATTCTGCTCTGTCCTATAGAGTCGCTATGAGTTGGAATTGACTCGACGGCAAGGGGTTAATGGGTTACTGGTTTTATATACATATATATATATATACACACTATACGGTACTATATATATACTATTAACAGAAAAATTTTTGCTCTGAAAATTTTTTTTCTTCAGAAGATCTTCATAAATTGAAAAAATTATTGTTTATAAAATATATTTTTGAAACTCCCATTTTCATACTTGGTAATGTCCACCAGTTTAAAATTATTTTTTAAAAAAAGATGGGAAATGTAGAACAGTTAAATAATTTATCAGTCTGATGCTACCCTGCTATGAGAAAAGCCCAAATATAATCAAAGATATTCACTTTCTGAATACCTGATTTACTTCTGAGCTTACTGACACTATCTCTTAAATCCTCTTATAAGGAATGTATAAGAATAAAAAATAAAGGAAGTCTGGTCAACATTACCTTAATCAGTATGAAATATAGTAGTCCGTGTCACCAAACACTGTACTGAAGTGACTAGCCAATTTACACCTCAGGTAGCACTTCAAACTCCTCCATAAGCAGGGAATGTGTGTTATAAAACGAATGTTTCAGCCTTTAAATTAGTGCTCTTAAAAAGAACCAGTAAAAAGAATTATCTTTAATTGTTTTTATGTGGGCACCAAGTATAGAAAAACAAACATAATTTGGATATGCCCCATTTTTCAAAGGCAATTTTTCATTCAATGGTGAGAAAATAATCCAGATTGATTCCTTACTTTCAATTCTGTGCCACAGGGGATGGTCCTACTCCAGGAATAACAGGGGCTTCAGAGGCCATAAACATGTTCCTCCTGATATTTCTTTAGCCAAAGACCATTACATCAAACTCATCCAGGCTGGGTTTCAGCCAGTTATTCTTCACCCAAACAAAAATGTCTGCCAGACATTCCAACAGCTGGGAGACAGTTCACAATGAGTCAACTTGAAAATGATTCATTGTGCTGAGTACTGAACAATGTTAGGGTGGGGGTGGAGTGTGGCTGGGTTGGTAGTAGAGGGTGAGAACAAGTGGGAGATGAGGAATAACCATGTGGTTCCCCATGAAGAAGAATCTTGGATAACAACCAGCAGACTCTTATTTCATTTTTACGATAAGCTCAACTGGGAGGAGTACTGCTGTCATGGACCCTCAGATGAACAAGCACTTTTAAAGGCTACTGACAATATTTCTTAATCAAAAAGGTCAGATTTCCTTTTATCTATAAGTAGAAGACTAAGCCTTTGTGTCTAAATGTCTGAATCTAAAATACTAAAAGTCAATTTTTGTTAAAATTCAATAATTTAGGATTTCTGCAAAATAAACTAGATTTTTCTGTTATCCAAATCATAGTAATTGTAAGGTAGGCTTAAGATAGGATTAGTCTTCCACTGTAGGTGGTAGGTGGTATGTAAGCAGAGAACTGTGTATTTATATGGTCATCATTTGTTTATTACAAAAAGGGTTTTTCTTCCTTAATTTAACCTTAATATTCACTAATAAATCATTCAACAGCATAAACATTTAGCAACATTATAGATATTTTAAAAGTGGTTTGTGGGAGATAATAATAAAAAAGTCAAGTACCCACTTTAAAGAGGAAAACTAATGAATTAATGAATACAAAAGGTATATGCAGCCTGGATCTCAGAATTTCCTAGAAACTCATTAATATATTTATTTCTGAGTTCCATAGGCTTACAGCATAGTTATTAACTACAAACTAAATTTTATTTTAAAAGCTTATGTGAAGTATTAGAATAATAACAAACTTTCAATTATACTATTACCATAAAATAAGTTAACAATAACTGCTATTACTTTCTGCACAGCAATTTTGGTAAATATTTTATTTTTTTAAAAAATATGATGGGGCAAGCTAGGTTAATTATGAAAGTTGTGCAGATATCTGAAGAATGTCTACAGAATAAAAAGCAGTGGAAATTATATAAGAACAACATCTAAGTTTCTGACTGAAATAACCTTTACTTTTTATTATAAACCCATCCAATCTTCCAGTTCTTTGTAGGAACATACAACATATTTTGGCATGTAAATGTACGTAGTTTTTAAAAAGATAACATGTTACAGAGTTACTTCTATACCTCCAAGATTCATGAGTATATTGATCTAATCTTATTTTAAAACCACTCCTGTCAAAAGGTGTTTTAAATCATCATCGTCATCACCATTAATGCTCTTTAAGATAAAAGGTGAATTTACTTAAAGGAATCTAAAATGAACAGCTTAAAAAAAAAAAAACCTTTAAAAGCATAATAACCACAATTTACTTCAGGAGGAATATACTATGGACAATAAATTGTTATAGCTCTCAAACCTCAGAAAGCTTTAGTATAAAGATTTGAGCAGAGGCCTTGAAACTGGAACTTCCACGTTTTCATCCTTACAGTTTCTAAGTGTTTTTTCTCTTATTAGCCAAGATTCGAAACCTCTTTGGTCTTCAGTATATGTAGTTGGAAATGAAGCAGTAAAGGTATTTGTGTATCAAGTACTTAGACATGAAATTGGAACATAATTTTTGTATCAATTTTAATTTTTTACATTACAGTTTCCAATAAGGAATGGTTTGAGTAAGGACATTCAGGATTCACCATTACGAGTAATTTAACGGTTATAGCACATGCATGGCATAATGACATCACTCAAGTATGTACAGTGATACTGCTACTCCTCTTTGCCCATCTGGATGTGGAAATCTAGGATAGCTCAAAAATCCTTCTTCTTCTAAGACAAATCTCCCTTCACTCCTGGGTGAAAGTTGTCAGCTCTGGATAGCGGCCAAGACATGACTAGGAGGGAAGCCAGAAGAGAAGAGAGCCAGCATCCAGGAGTTTTAAGAGTTTTCTGGCAGTCTCAAACAGCATTGTTTTAAGTTACCAGTAAATAAAGGGATCTTAAAATTTTCTGTTATAGCATAATTTCTTAATTAACTATTTAAAGTTAAATTATGTCAAATGCTGGTGCAAATAAACAAGGCAAATACAATTGTACAGTCTTCTACCTTCTTACTCCAATTTTAAACTTTAGAGTTGTTGTTTTGAATGCTCCTTGTTTGGTTTCATAGAATGTTTCCTGTTTGCTTTTATAGTGGTAATACCGCTTTCATTAAGATACCCTAAATCCATTAAATGGATTTTAAATAAAGGAATATTAATTTAATGCTCCCTTTCAATTCAAAGCTCATAAATTCCAAACTATGTGCTTAGTTAAGAGATAAAAATTAAGCTACTGCCAAATAAAGCTCCCATTATTTTCTAACAAAAATAGTTTAGATACCTATCTAGAGTTACTAAAAATTCAGAATACCTCAGATGCTGAACTTTTCCTTACTTTCTTGGACCTAATTATCTCAATAACCTCAAAATCATTAATTTCATCATCTCAAAACTATCTCAATAATTTTGTACCAACACAAAATATACTTCCAGGAAAGATTTTAA